CATGATTCCCTAGCATTGAGCCAGGGCAGTTAAAGTAGTCTCAAGCTGGATTATTTCTGTCAGTCTGTTCAGACCCGTAGACCCTAAGGCAAACCTATTATAGAGTTTTCTTGGCAAGTTTCGCTCAGAGGGGGTTTGCCCTTGCTATCCTCTGAGGCTGAGAGAGTGTGGCTTGCCCAAGGTCACCCAGTGGGTTTCCACGGCCGAGCTGGGATTCGAATCCCGGTCTCTAGAGTGAAGAGTCCAGGACTCAAACCACTCCCCAAATTCTGGCTCTCAGGTTCCCCTTAGGGTTGCCCTAAATAAAAAAGGACTTGAAAGGCACACAACAACAACAACAACACAGCAACAAAGTTTGTTGTGGCACCAGAATTCTCTGACCAAGAAGGCTAAACACTTTCTTGGATCAAACTTGCTTGGGGTGCATCTACACTGCAGAAACAGTGCCGTCTGAGTCTACTTTAACTACCATGGCTCCATCCTACAGAATCCTGGGATTTGTAGTTTGGTGAGGCGCCAGAGAAGGAGAGCGGCCCCTGTAAAACTACAAATCCCAGGATTCTGTAGGATTCTGTAGGATGGAGCCGCAGCACCGAAAGTAGGCTCAAACTCAAACTACATTATTTCGGCAGTGGACCCGGATTTCTTGGAAGCAAACTTGGAAGAATCACTGCCATCCTGCGCCTTCTTCCTATTGCGGTCCAAAACACACTGCAGAAATCATCCAGTTTGAGACCGCTTTAACGGCCCTGGCTCAATGCTAGGGAAATCTGGCAACTGTAGTTTTGTGAGACATTGAGCTTTCTCTGTCAGAGAGGTCTGGTGCCACAACAAACTACAATTCCCAGGATTCCCTGGCACTGAGCCAGGGTAGTTAAAGCGGTCTCAAACTGGATGGCTTCTGCAGTGTGTTTTTTGGACCTAAGGCTGCATCCGCACTGCAGAAATAATCCAATTTAGCGCCGCTTTAACTGCCATGGTTCAGTGCTATGGAATTCTGGGACGTGTAGTTTGTTAAAGGCGGTGAAGATTCCTGAAGAGGAAGGCTGTTGCAAAGCCAAACCACTTTGTTTTCTCCCCCGAAGCAGTATCAGTTCCAGTTGACTGTTGAAGTTTGGACAATGGGAGGAGAGGAAGACGTCTCTGTTCAGAGTTCGAATTCGGCTCTTGCGAATCCATCGCGAGTGAAGCGGGAAGGATTCCCAATCTGACCTCGAAGATCGGAGTCCAATTTTTAAGCCCTTCCTTTTTCAAGTGGAAAATGTTGGGGGGGGGGGATGTAACTCAACTAAAACAAAAGTTCAGGAAACGTTTATTGGGGTGTAAAAGGTTAGGGACATCTGTAAAAAGAAATCAATTAAATTTTAAAAAAATCAGATGCTCTTTTTCTTCTTTTAAAAGCGTCCGAAATGCGGAGAACAAGGGAAGGAGGGTGCTGGTGTTTCCTTTTCGCGCGGGATTTTCTTTTGGTTTTATTGCCAAGACTTTTGTTCCTATCCAAAATTTCTACGCGATCCTTAAAATCTCCCTCCGGAGAAAGCGGGTTCCAATAAAAACAGGAACCAAAGCCAACCAAGCGGTTTGTGTGTGTGTTTGTGTTTGTGTTTGTGTGTGTGTCTACACTTGCCACCCTCGCTGCTAGGCGCGGGGATCAAGACTCTGGGAGAGCTGGGTTCAAATCCCCACCTTGGGCAAGTCACACTCTCTCAGCCTTAGAGGAAGGCAAAGGCAAACCCCCTCTGAACAAACTTTGCCCAGAAAACCCCGTGATAGGTTCACCTGAGGGTCTTCCATAAGGAAACAACTGGAACACAACAACTACAAAGTCTCCCTCGCATTCAGCCCAGGATCGAGGCCTGAGCCTAGGAGGGCTTTGAGGGCGACAAGCCAGTGGCCTTTTAAAAGGGGGCAGATCCGGACCCTCGCTTTCTTCTTGTTGTTGTTGTTGTTGTTGTTGTTGTTGTGTGCCTTGAAGTCATTTCCGACTTATGGCTACCGGAAGGAGAACTTGTCAAGGGCTTTTCTGAGGCTGAGAGAGTGTGACTCACCCAAGGTCATCCAGTGGGTTTCTATGGCCGGTCATGGATTCGATCTCCAGAGTTGTAGTCCAGAGCTCAAACCATTACACCATCACGTTGGCTCGCTTTGTTGTTGTTGTTGTGGTTGTGGTTGTTAGCTGCCCTCAAGTCGATCTCGGCTCATGGCGACCCTATGGATGAGACATCTCCAAGAC